AAGTGCTGAATCATTGTTTTTCATGTATCGGTTACCCAGTGTCATGCCTGATAATTAACAAACAAAAGTTATTGTATTTTCAACTCATAAAAAAATAAATCGTGCTAGCTAATTAACTACAAAAGTAACGAAGTCAAGAGATCGTTCCATTTTCACCGCTTTGGTACCAAAATTAGTTCGCTCGTCTATCAGATTTGAACTACGTGTCCTATTGATACGGTACCATACATCACTCTTTTAAGAGTGACGATGTGAGAAGTGTTAGTATTCGGGTATACTCCCAAAGTCTAACATCGTTCGCCACGAGACAGTAGTTGATTAGAGATCATTCTGAAACTTAAACTATCAGAACACAAAATCAATCCTTGCACGAAGCTAGAATCGAACACACGAACTTGATCTTTGCGGACGAACTGCAAAAATCAACTTCGCTGTTCTTTCCTATATTCTGCACAATGACTGGATGTTTTCCTTCAACGTATATTTTTTGTTGTGATTTTTGAAAAGCTCAACACTTACCATTGCACGAACCCGGGATTTTTGTATATTTCTCTTGGACTGCTTCAGTGACCGTTTTTGGTTGCTTGACGAAATACTCTGATGATAGTGGATTCGGACCCCATGTTGCCGCAAGTTCCTCCCACTTTGGGTCTGTATTTGAACCAAAGAACAATCCATGACCTTAAAACAGGAAAAAACGTTTTAACCTAAATATCCGAAAAGAGTTGTATAGTCATGGTACCAGCTGAAACACAAAACAATACTAAAATGATAGACTTCATACTTGGTAACTCGTTTTTTTATGAATATAAATACCCTCTTAGTGCTATTGTTGGTCGCGTATAAATAGTCTATACCTTGTTGTTGTTATTTGACAGTGATTGACCTTTGTATAGTAACAAATGCTGAGGAAATACTATACGATAATTAAATTTCAAATAGTACAAAAATCACTTTCTTTTGTAAAGCTATCTTTTTTACTTGTAACAAATCAGAATATGTAATATGATCATTGTATCTTTTTCAAGGATAGGAACATAATAGGATTTGATCATTCAATAATTAAATTAAATAGAATGCAATGTGGTATCAATATGTCAGCTAGGCTTTATTCGTTGAAAGACATTAAACAGTTATGTACGTGGTGCTAGTCAATTAGAGAAGGGCAAAGTGTGTGGCACGACTGTCTTTTGTACTACTCTGGTAAAAGACTTTGGTGCTTACGCAGCAAACAAAATCGAAAACATTAAAAGTCGAAATCTTAAGGCACATCAAATCTAAGTAAAGCTAAACGTGAATTTCTCTAAATGGTTTTACCTTATTTCCACATACGCACCATTAGAAAAGTAGTTTTAGAACACACTGATCTCTTTAAGAAAAATAACGGAGCATCGAAATACATGAATGTGAATTGTTTAAGATGTTTGAATGAAAACTAAAAAGGTTCCATGTTCTTCAACCCAAAAGCGGAGTGCCCCAGGTCTGGTTCATTAGTGTGGACAAAGTGTCTAAAGACGACTTGACGAGTCGCAATTTTTGAGCATAAAAATGATACAATAATTCGCATTTTACCATTATTTTGCGAATTCGTAATTCATTGATGCAACTAATGATGCGAACTAATAAAAATGATCAAAAAGGAACCAAAAAGGTGCCTTTTTTGTTCCTTTTGCGAATTCGTAGGCAAGAAAGTTTAGGTACCTACGAATTCGTAAATCGAATTGGTCGACTATCGACGAATTCGTGAAATGATCTTTTTGGTCCCAAAGAATTCGTATAGGAGTTCATAAATTGGCAAAAACAAGATAAAATGCGAATTTACGAATTCGTAGATGCCAAAGCATATCCGACGAAGTCGTAAATTCGTATTTTATTGTCAAGAAATTTTTCTATGAGGTTAAAAATAGATAGATTCGTCTCTTCGCATCAATTCGTTCATACTTTTTCGCGAAAGAAAAATAGAGAGTAATCTCTCTCCTATTTGCGTGCATGTACGGGGGCAGGGCAGCGAGGATGACTGTGAGTATTTACAAAACAAGCTAAACGTTTTTTCGTTGGATTTCAGTCACTTGTTCACGAATTCGTAAACATAACGGCGAATTCAGGTGATTAGTATACGAACCGATGCGAAGAGACTAATCTATATATTCTTATCGTCATAGAAATGCTTCGTGTCCTTGACGTCAGTTCGTATTTTACGAATTCGTAAGAATAACGATGAATTGATATGAGAAGTATCCAATTTCAACCGCTGGATCAGTTCATAATACGAATTCGCTAATAGTTATTTACGAATTAATCTAGTTCTAAAAGCAGCGAATACGAATTGTAAATAAATTTTACGAATTATTTGCAAATTGATCAGCATCGTGTTTAATCTGTTCGCATGTTTACGAATTCGTAAAAGTTTTTAGAAGTATCCGTACGAATTCGATACAGTTCGCATCAATTCGCTGAGAACTCTCAAAACAAGCGTAAAATGCGAATTGTTGTATTATTTTACGCTTAAAAGTTGCGATTCATAAATTCGTCTTTAGGCACTTTGTCCACACATCTCGCCTAGTTCCTGGTATAAAATTGTTCCCCATAAAACTCTTCTTCCCCAAGAAAAATACGTATTTCTCATACTTATTCCCAAGCAAAACCTGCCCAGCAAAAATATCTAGATGCATTCGCCGGTGCATCTAGATAAATGAGTAAAAAAACCCTAGTTATCTAGATGCATCGAGTAAAAGCGATGCACCAGATGCAAGAGGCGATGCATCGTCTACTAATATAGGAATATTGAAACGATAAAAGCGATATTTGGCGCGATGCAGCAACAGTGCATGGCCTTTTGCATCGATTTTTTTTCACAGTTTCTGCATCTAGTTAGAGCGCTGCAGCTAGATACAAAAATGTAATTACTAGTAATTGTTTTTGATGAAATTGGTCTGGCGGAAATATCAAAAAATAATCCATTAAAAGTATTACATAAACATCTTGAATGAGAAAATTGTTTAATAAGTTTTGTTGGTTTATCAAATTATTGTCTGGATGCATCAAAAATGAATCGAACTATTTATATTGCACGATCAGATCCTGATAAAATTGATTTACAATATACAGCTGAAGCATTATTTCATGACATAGTACCGAATATGAACCATGGTTTTAGGGCGTTTTCAGATATCACCTTGTCAAGTTATTCAGTATTTTAGACTCTCTCTTCTAGTAGCCAATACTGGTCATTCCACTAACCCTCCTATACGTAGTCAAATACACAACTACTTTTAACTCGTCAAACAGGAACAGACATGTACAAACATCGGAGTACTTCACAATCACAACTCCCAAAAATGCTCTCTTTTCGAAATGAAAATAAAAAATACGACAGTTGTGACGTGGACTAACGAGGGAACTGCCCCAAGTGTCCGCTCGCTTTTTTCTTGAAACCTAGTGGAGAATAGGTTATCGACTATGCTGATTCCGAATATGACAATGGTTTTTGCTGCTAGGCCTTCGAAGACCT